AAGAGCGTGGTTGCATTCGCTCGTTGGTTTCTCGGTATACACTCGGTACACTTCGGTTCTAGATCGATCGCCACGGTTAAATTGCTGGGCCTGCGCTATCCAGGAACTTTATTGCTGGTTAAATCGGAGTTCACTCGAAGCTGTGCTGTTTAGGGCTCTCCGATATTCCGAGTATTCCCTCTTATAGCGCAATGTTCTTCGTGAGCCTCTTCTCAATTTTCGTGGAACTATTCGAGCGGGAAACGAGTAATATCGACGCAGATCGATGCGAAGTAAACGTTGAATCGTTATTCATGCCTGCAGCGCTGTAATTCTGTGCACAGTTTGCAGAAATGGATCGAAGTATTATTTAGTAGAGGGTGATTGTAATTCTACGGAGTTTAAGTTTCATCGGCATATAGAAACTGTTGAGGAAAATCTGTTGTGAATGCAACCATCCTGGGGATAATGGCAACCTTAATGTGATCAGGCCGCTGTTTGGTTTCCGTCAACTCGATATTACTCGGCGGAATTGCGTACGTCGTATAAATATGTAATCACAGATTACTTGTAGGTGTCGAAAAATTAAGCTTATGATGGTTAATTCCTGGGACTATTTAAAGTTAGATCACTAAAACCATGCTTTAATTTTTAATATGTTCGTAGGAAAGCGTACTCAGACCGCAGGTATTTAATGAGCAAACAAATGCGTCTCGAAGAAATTAGTACACATCGAGAGTCAACGCAGATATTACTGAAACTATTTTTCATTTTACGAGCTGCATTTGTATTGAAATATACATTATTGCGGTAATAGTCACGAGAATTGTTTAATTGAAGTATACCATGCCATTAAACAAAGATGCATTAACCTTGAAAAAAATGAAGGTCACCTTGACATCTACAAAAAAAATTAATATAAAATCTTAAAATACTGTGAATCATTTATATCTTGTGTAACATACCCAAAAATACAACAAAATATTTCCATGGTAATTTTTCAATAATTTGGAAATAAAGGGGTTAAATGAGCATTCATTATTCTTCCCCTATTCTCTTCAAATGTATTCAAGATTTCTCAAGGGACGAAACGATCCTCAATGCCAGTCGTAGCGGTTGCATTGAACCCGTCGCAAGGGTTGCATCTAGGAATTCTTCTTCTCTGTCGCGGAGAACGCGCTCGGTGCACGCACGCCTACGCGTGCTCGCGTACCGCCACCTCGCGTCGCGCTTCATAAAGGTTACGCATTAATCTCGGGTGCGTTACGCGCCGCTAAGGTTCTCCGGTTTCGCGGGCGCGCGCCTGTGCAACGCCATAGCGCAAAGAGGCATTCAAAACGGAGGCACAACGAAAGACAAAGGCGTTGTTCACTCGCGGGCGCACCTTCCTGCCAAGGAATTCCTGTTCGCCCCGATATACACACACACACATACATTCAGACAGGCCAAATGGATCCTACCGATCATTGTCCGCCAAAGATGGATCGCGACTTACGTGGGAAATCGAATAGCGTCGAGATCGTGTCGAACGCTCTGCGACAATATCCGCTAAAAATAATCCGCCCCGTGAACCAGTCACGTGGCCATTGGGAGACAAAACGCTCCTAGGAAGTTCCCTTTTGTAACCACTTCCCTTATAACATCGAGTCAGACACGTGATGACGATTTCAAAGTAGATTTATGAAACATATTTTTCGTTTTGTTTAGGTCGATGTGAAATAGTGTTTCGCTGGTATTAGCAGATAAGTGTTAGAGTAAATGGGACAGTTAATAGGAGAATTGAACTCATTTTGTATTTGGGAAATTATTAATGATAATCACTAAAAATCGTAAGATAAGAGGTTAATTACAGTATGGTAGAGTCGTCTATATCCGGACTCCCATTATCCGAATACTATATATTTCCAGAAGTTTTATGATCTAAACGTTCTGTCATCCGAACAGAGTTCTCCTGTTGCAAATACGTAGTGTTTATCGAATTCCGTTTCGAACCGCAGATTTCCAGTAAAAATTTCTATAATTTAGCAACCAAGAAGATACTCGAATCCATAAATATTTACCTAAACCGTGAATTCTCTTGATCTCTGTTCAAATAAATGCAGTTCCGTGTCGGAAAAGTGATCGTTCTATTATCCGAAAAAAATCCGAAGACGTATGTCTCCCGATTAGTTCGGATACTGGAGGGTCTACCGTATCTGAAATTGATTCATTAACGTCCGACGCTTCCGTATTAACGCTGCACGCGATCGCCTTCCTAATTGCCCGCGATAAATTCCGTTTGTTCGCCCGTCCGGTGTGAATCGAAACCCTCGAGGAGCTTCTAAAGGTCGGATAGAGAGGCACGGCCGCAGGTAGTATTCACGGGGTGTTTCCAATGCTAAAGCAAGAATCATTTGTTTACGTACGCGAGATAAGTAACAACATTACTTAGAGAGTGACCCGATAGAAAAGGCGCGCTCGCGCGCGGTAATTGCCCGAGCTGGATGTACCGGATGTCGATTATCGTAGGCGTACGAGGCCTCGCCAGCTCGCTCGGCTAGAGATCATTTACACTCTCGCGAGCCTTATTACGAGCAGCCTCGTGATCCAGTAAATGTATGGGCCGAGAGTTTTCGCACCTCTCGACGTCGAACCTACACATCGTATTTCAGCGAGCGCACGTTAACGGGAAGGATGTTAAGAGGAAAACTAAAGAACCCAGGGCTTCTAAACACGAACTCTCGACGTTTCATTTATAATCGAACTCCCTCCGTCAGGGGGAAGAAACGGCCGTTTCTCTTCTGTACGGGGAGTTCCTCTAGCCCCGGACGGCACCTTATATCGGACATTAAGTACAGGATGAAACGAATAAAAGGTTACATAACTTCTAGGGTAGATAATACTCGTGAAATGAGGAAAAAATGTTGTAAGACGCATGGGTCGAAGAATTAATATTTTTAATGGTATTCTATTAGTTTAATATTAAGTAATTAAGAATTTGATATGCAGTCTTTACTTGTATATCTATATTATATGTATACATATACATAGTTTTTTAACATTTGCCATTGAAAAGGAATATTTCTTCATTTTTATTTTCGTAAAATGAAACAAAGTCTTATTTAAAATTAATATTTTATTCCACATATAACTGTTTCCATATGGGGTAAAATAACTCCCGAAGGCAGAGTCACTCGTTTTAACCGAAACAAAAATTGTTTATAACTTTGAAAATATTAATTTTTCGACGCATGTTTATTAGTACATTTTTTCTATGTTCCCTAGAAGTTATTAGTTAAAGAACACAAGGGAAATTTGGGAAGTTTAAAAAGATAAAGAAAACCGGATCATTGACACCGAGAAACACAAACAAAGAAACTATCTGTGTGGTTTGCTGAGAGAGCAGTGATGAAAACTGGATTCAATGCTCAAGCTACCAAGAATGTGCACACGAGGCTTGTACCGATATTCCTGAGTGTTCTGACAATTACATTGAATACACAATATCGGTATATCACAAATTTTGTAATCGTTACAAACTATCGCATTTCGAAGCGTCACTTATTTCTGCTAAATCTGATACTAGGTACCATTCGTGTCCCTTTAAAATCGTGTACCAAAATTCAATTAAATTCGAACATTACAATAGCGTTAGTTATTTTGTCATTCACTTTGATTTCCAGTGTTATCACCTTATTATTAATACAAAATAAAAATAAAATAAAATATTACTTTTTCATATATCTAAAACTTTAAGTGTCCGCCACTAGGGGAACTACCTCCCCATAAAAGATCTAGAAGGGGACTCCGTGGATCGTTAAATTCGCTGGGAAAGTAGTTTTCAGGTGAGCCAGCTCTCGGGTTCGCAGTCGAGGCATTAATCGCGTTTCGAAACTCCCGTCGAAAGATCAGCGCAGCCCTGGACGAACCGGGAAATAAAGGAAACTCCTTTCGATCGGTAATCAGCCAGACAGGCGCACCACTCCTCCTCCGTGAGTAGATGCTTGGATCGAGCAGGCTGGTGGGTGTGAGAACGGAACCGTTAAGAATAATTCAAGAAGCACGAGAGGAGGCGAGCCCTGTATCTCTCCGCCAAGTAGCCGATTTGCACACAGCCCTAACGAAGGTACCGGCCGCTTTGAGGATCCTATTAAACGCGAAACTTTACAACCACGCAGGACCTTCACCAACGTGGGGGAGGTATGGATAAACGTTCCGTGCATTACCT